CTATGCCTGGAAACCACACAAACCGTTGTCCGATCCACATCACTCATAACATGGTATACAGCCTGACACACTATTAAAGGGCAAGTCCACTCCTAAAATTACTTAGTTTCAATAAAAGCATAAAAATCAGAAGAACCAATCAAACAAAGTTTGAGCAAAAATATGAATTTTTAATGACATGAACAACTTTGAAAATTGCAAGACAAATCTTTGCCTCACTATCCATTTATTGCTTTCTTTATATTGATAATATAAATTTCCGATTTTCCTCCTAAAACTCTTATTTTCTCACACCAGCATCCAAATTGTATTGACACAAATATTTGTATGTGTGGATGCAAGAATATAAAGTAATGTTTACTCAGGTAAATCATGAAAAATGTGAATGTTGATAAACCATTCATACACAAATCAATGATTATGAACATACCTTATTTAGAAAATTTATTAATTCTTCAAAACTCATAAAAGATTTTGTAAAATGTCATGCACGCAATATGATACAAATCATAAAACCTAGGGAAAGGCATGGGGAGATCAAGTTTTGGGGAATACAAAGGGAAATTAATGGGATAAAATATATAAAGCAATTGGTAAATAATGAGGCAATGACGTCACAAACTGATAACCTAATCTGCAAAATGTGTAGTAATTTTCTAAGTTCCATAGTTGTTCATACTATTTTAAAAATCTATAAATTGCTTTTTATTTATTGGATTTTACTCAATGTTTGTTATTGCTCTGTTTCACTTGTTCTTCTGCATCTATTACACGCAAATTATCTTTGGAGTAGACTAAACCTTATCGTGTTACAGTATTGTAAGCGAATAAGATATGTCATGCGGCTGGCCTTGTAGGTCACAGGATAAAGGAAAACACTTTTGAAAGGAAATTTCTGAAAGAAAACGTGGTTTCACGCTGGCAGGTTTTACACAAATCAAACAAAATATATTATGGTAATTGATTTTAACCTGAGGTGCGTAGGTGTTCAGAACCTATAAAAGAAGTTTGTAGAATAGATTCTATTTTTGGAGCGTAGGCCTAATTAGGCTTGTCAGATTTTGGTATTACTTCGTTCCGCTTCGATCAATACATTTCCCACTAATATAATATATGAGCAAACCCAGACAGATCTATAAGTAATGTGAGAAATTGATACATATTCTGGCTTTTGTTTATGACACTTTACCTGATATTCAGGTCCACCATCCTTAAGAAGAGTTTTATACATATGTGAAACATAATGTAGTTCATGACATAAGTGAAACCCCTGAAACGTAAATACCGAACTGCATTTACGCACTTATAGAGATGATTGATAAGCTATCCTTAAAGATGAAGTTGAGTTCTGGTCATGCGTTTGCGTTGTGAAAGAAACGGTGTGGAATCGACTAGAAAAGGTTGATCATCTAGCATATAAGAATTTGTGTGTATTACAAGGTTCTGGAATCGTCAAAATGATAAGAAATGTGGCCAAGTCTTGGTAAAGTTACAAACATTGTACACAGAAAGATGTATTTGGAACTACACGAACACGTGGCGTAAAAATCCTACCCTGGATTTTTACGATGTTACATGACATATTTAGAATACGAAGGCATTTGAAGAGCCATGCTTTTCAGGGAACATTTCTTATCTGATGTTCTTCCACACTTACATAATAAGAATGATAACGCTCACAAATTATTTTTCACCTCTTCCCAGAACTCAACCTTCTCTTTAAACATAAGAGACTTTATCTTTTAAGCTGATGTTGAATAGATTTTGTTTGAAGGCCTTAGTTTTATAGAAACATGTTTTCACAGCGTTCTACATTAGTACAAGAATGTCATAACTAGACAAAGTATATATAGGCATAGATATCAGGCGCGGATCCAGGATTTCTTAGGGGGGGGGGGGGCCCAAATTTGAAATTATGCGAGCCAAAAATTGGAACGTAATGGTGACCAGCAGTGACGTAATGCGCGGGGGGGGGGGGGGGGTGGGTGCAGGGAGGGGCGAGTTTCCCCCTCCCTCCTCGAAACGCGATAGCTTTGACGTTTCATCAAATTATTAGAGAAAGAAGACGATTCATAGTACCGTTCTCGAAAATAATCCTCGTCTGAATTCAGGTTCACCCCTCCCGCGCGAAGCGCGGAAACTTTTATGATTCATTAAATCATTAGAGAAACAAGACGATTCGTTGTACATTTCTCAACTCTTAATCCTCGTCTGAATTCAGTTTTCCCCCTCCCGCGCGAAGCGCGGAAGCTTTTACGATTCATTAAATCATTAGAGAAAGAAGACTATTCGTTGTACCGTTCTCGAAAATAATCCTCGTTTGAATTCATTTTCACCGCTCCCCCCCGGTCCCTCCTGCGCGAAGCACGGAAGCTTTAAAGATTCATTAAATCATTAGAGAAAGAAGACGATTCGTTGTACAGTTCTCGACTCTTAATCCTCGTCTGAATACAGGTTACCCACTCCCGCGCGAAGCGCGGAAGCTTTTACGATTCATTAAATCATTAGAGAAAGAAGACTATTCGTTGTACCGTTCTCGAAAATAATCCTCGTCTGAATTCATTTTCACCGCCCCCCCCCCCCACACCCCGGCCCCTCCTGCGCGAAGCGCGGAATATTTTACGATTCATTAAATCTTTTGAGAAAGAAGACGATTCGTTGTACAGTTCTCGACTCTTAATCCTCGTCTGAATACAGGTTACCCCCTCCCGCGCGAAGCGCGGAAGCTTTTAAGATTCATTAAATCATTAGAGAAAGAAGACGATGCGTTGTACCGTTCTCTACACTAATCTTTGTCTGAATTTTAAAGATGTTCTTTGTCTGCTCCTCTTTTTTTCTACGTCCTCTTCCTTTTCTCTCCTCTTTCTTTTTTTAGGGGGGTGGGGGCGGTGATTGTTTGGGTACCGCCCCCACCGCCCCCCTGGCTACGCGCCTGCGGTCAGATAAACACATTTTGATACCTTGTCCGACCCCAGAAGCTCAGACGTTTAAGGCAATAAATTACGGTCAGACAAGCATTCAGGGGCCCGCCTTAGGGCCCCTGGTGGGGTCGAGGCGGTGGAGCCCCCGGAAGCTCGGGGGTTTTAGGCGTTTAATTACGGTCAGATGAGCATTTTGTTATAATCCTTATTATTTTGTGTCACTGGCAGGACACTATTTGGCGTGGGATCCAGGGGGCGGAGCCCCCCAAAATCAGGGGTTTTATGCATTAAATTACCGTCAACTGAGCATCGAAGGGCCCGTCTTAGGGCCCAAGGTGGAATCCAGGGGGCAGAGCCCCGGAAGCTCAGGGGTTTTAGGCGTTTATTTACCTTCAGATGAGCATTTTGTTATAATCCTTATTATTTTGTGTCACTGGCAGGACACTATTTGGCGTGGGATCCAGGGGGCGGAGCCCCCCAAAATCAGGGGTTTTAGGCATTAAATAACCGTCAGATGAGCATCGAAGGGCCCACCTTAGGGCCCTAGGTGGAATCCAGGGGGTAGATCCCCCGGAAGCTTAGGGGTTTTAGGCATTTAATCACGGTCAGATGATCATATTTTGATGCCTCTTTATTTGTTAACACTGGCAGTTAACTATTCTTTCTTTCTTGCTCTCTTTCTTTTTTTAATTTCTCTTTAATATACTTTTTTTGTTAAAGTGTGGGGGGGGGGGGGGGGGCTCGAGGCTCCCAATTCCCGCCGTTCCTCGGGCCCTGACATGTAGGAATCTCAAGAATCATATTTCTTGCCTGGCTGTAAATTTAGGAATTTGTCATTTTCCAACAAATGCATAAAAAAGTATAATTTACTAAAAAGTGAGAAAAAATCTCGGAAATTATGTAATTTCAGCATTATTTGTAATCCACAATTATGGAATTAGAAATAAAACACGTTTGAATTTGATTTCCCCCAAGCCCCCCCCCCCCCCTCTATCAGTACACCAGTATCTCCTATTTTCCTTTTTTCTTTCCCTTTCCTTCCTTCTCTATTATTTTTTTGATTGGGGGGGGGGCAACAGCCTGGGAGGCAAGGCCCTTTCGCCCCCCCCCCCCGATCTCCTTCTTCCCCCTTTTCTTTTCTTCTTCCTCTTCTTTCTTTCCCTTTCTCTCCTCTTTCCCTTTCCCTTCTTTTCCTTTCTTCTCTTTTTTTGTTTTTTTGTTTTTTTTTTTGCCGGGGGGGGGGGGCCAAGGCCCGCTCGGCCCCCCCCCCCTGGATCCGCGCCTGATAGATATCATGTTTAGGAAAAGGGGCGCGTGTGAGAATAGTAGGGCACTTATCAGAGGTGTAAAGGGGACGAGGCAATTTTACAGAGTAATAGGGGCACCTTTCCTATGTAAAAACGGGCACTTCTTACAAAGTAAAAATGGCACTTTTGGGACATTGGAAAAGAGGAGGCAGTGTGCCCCGTGCCACCCCGGAGGGACGCCTCTATGCGCATTAAATCACCTCCGCCCCTAGGTTAACAACAGATCTTCGCCACTGGTCACCAGTTTTAGATGTAGCGATAGCAAGGCTACAAACCTCTAATTTCAAAAAGTGAACATTGTTACCGTTGACCGACTTTCTAGTGATAGTGTCTTCCTATGGTGATACATACTATCACCAAGTTTTACTGCTTATACCTCTCATTTTTCATAAGATATCAAGATTACAAGGATAAAGTGACCTATGACCTTTAATTTTGTTTCATACGTTTTCCGTAATGATCCTCTCTTGAAATCGCTTAAAAATTGTGATAAATCACTGTGATTACTGTCGGAAAATAAAGTACACAAACACACACACACACACACACACGCACGCACGCACGTTTCAACGCCGAAATGCACAGCACACTGCGGCCGCACGAAATGGACCGGAAGCGACTTGGTCACCAAACTATCCCAGACTGCGTTTGAAATGGGGGCCTGAAGGTAACATACAGGTATTTGTTAACATATCGGGGATAGCGAGAATTCAAATTACTACAATGAACTTTCGTTCCTTTTTCTTCTCTCTTTTAGGACCTTGCACCTAATCCGTTTGATGACAGTGACGTCATTAACAAACTTAGTCTTAAGAAGATGGGGGCATCGCGGAGGGAGCGGTCGTCTAAGTACAAGAACTGGTTGCTAGGAGTGTTACAAAGTAAAAAATGTCATCGGATTCTTGACCTAGCTTGTGGTAAAGGGTAAGTGTAGAAATGCTAACTAATTAAAAGGTAGTCCAGAAAAGCTCGATCTAAACGAACTTTGATAATACTATGTATGATAATATTAGTACAACTAAATTCGACGGTTCAGGGACACAAAGACGTAAATCCATATTTTGTCAAAAATGAGTACTTTCCAGGAGTCATGGAGTTTGGGGTCATGAATTTGGTTCAAATGAAGATATTGGAAGCATATGCGATTCTTAAATATTAAGTGATCGTTGTCGCGGTCGAAATCGAGTCTAAAGTGATTAAATTGTAAATAATAAACTTGTTATGTTGTCTGGCTCCCTCTCAAGGTCAATATATTGATTTATCTATAAAACAATGTTTCTGGACTAAAATCTACAGATTGGCTATTCCCGTATGAAAATTTTATATCACAACTACATATTCTGAGATTTTCATGGTCGCAGCTACCATTGTATGGCCGTAGTCGCTATCTGAAATTCATCAAAATTTACCGGGAGCACCGGTACATTTTTTTATATTCAATTTTTCTCGAAAGCAGAAGTGTTTTAGGGGCTAAATTTACTAGTGCTTATAATACATCCACATAGGCAGCCAAATATATCGAAATTGTAAAGAATCACTATCCAGCCAATTTTCAACATTTCCCAAAACTTTGTATTACCTTTAACATATATATATATATATATATATATATATATATATTATTACCCCAGTCAACGGATTCAGGCTTACATGTATGCACATTCTGCTCTCCCTTGGGAACATTCCAGCTAGGCGTCATTTTTACAAGCGCACAATTGCTAATCTAAGCACATTAGCTTTCGCATCCTACCGGGTACCTATTGAACACCTGGATGGAGAGTGGCAAATGTAGATCAATGCCTTGCTAAAGGCCGTGCCGCGGTGGGACTTGAACCGCGGACCTTGTGATTCACATTCTGGTGACAAATCCACTCGTCCACGACACCTTTTGGAACCGAGTACTTCATATGTACTATATTGAAGCTATGAGGTTGTACTATGCCAAATGTGTTTTATAACTTTGGGATGTTTCAAGTTCAGCATAAACATTAAATAAAATGAGTAGTTTAAAGGAAATGTTCTGGGAATGGTGACAAATATCTTGTGAGCTTGCGGAAGATTGTCTTAGAAGAATAAATACATGACCAGAACTGAACTTTATCGTTGAAAGACGGACTGCTATGTGCACACGTACACTACGTTTCAAATTATTGCCACACCCCCCCCCCCCCTCTACTTATTCCATCACGGTGAGTTCCGGCATAATAAATAACAAGTATTCAATACTCCCCTTTACACAGTGTGGACTCGGTATTCCTGCTCGAGCAGGGAATGGAAGTCGTTAGCTGTGATGATGCTGAAGCGATGCTCGTCTACGCTAGATCAGAGAAAACACGTCTTGGACTTAAAGACTGGGGTAGGGCATGTTTTTTACCCATCCTTTTCATTTAAATATTGTATTATCTTTCCCTCAGTTTAATACTACACACATTAGTAAAACAATACTTAATAATCTGATCCACCATACCCTATTTTTCAAAAGATTGGAATAATCTGTTTTTAATCCTTTTTCTGAAATTATTGCGACGATATGATTTATTGTAGATAGAGTCTATTTGTCATTAGAATAGATCAAACAAGCTCTGAGATTATATCAACACCATATATATATATATATATATATATATATGAATGGGAATATGGCCTTTTTGAGTAAAATCTGCATATTTAATTTAACACTTTCTCTTGTATAAAGTTAACAGCTGTTTTTTGGTTAATGGAATCGTAATGAATGAGTTTGAAATTAGCCCGTTTTGTAAGTTGAACAAAAATTCAATTTAGATGCAGTATAATACATTTAATGATCGTGTGTCACTTGCACATATCAACAAAGGAATTGAAAATAGGTCACAAGTGGATTTGGCCCCTTTTAACATTAAGCAACACACTCACACACATACTTTCATATATATCCATGCAGTAATGATATTCACTCCGAGTTCAAAAAGGTTTTTAAAAGACTTAGATTTTTGTTATTCTATTTCCCTTTTTTTCTTCTTTTTACGTGGCTGTAGTTGTAAAGCGAGCCAACTGGCTGACGTTAAGTGAGGACTTACCAGATCAAGAGCCATTCGACGCCGTGCTCTGCTTGGGAAGTTCGATTTTACACCTAGTGGATTTGCCCCCACAGCTTGGCCTCTATCGAAAGTGTTTGACAAACTTTAGGAAGTTCTTGAAACCAGGTGGATTATTACTGATCGACCACAGGAACTTGGATTCGATGCTCGATCATGGCATTGCTGTGAATAAGAACATTTATCATAAGGTTTGTGTGCTTCAAATGTGTCCTCTCAAGTTGTTACATATTCCATTCCGTTTGATAGCGATTACTACAGAGGTTCTGCTTGGTTTTGTTTTCGCTTCAGAATCCAGGTTTAGATAAGTTTCGGAAATCGTAATTTCAAAGGATTGAGGACAAAGAGCATTTTCGAAATTTAACAATTATCCAAGCTAGATCCAGCAGTATCAATAAGTTAATAAGACACCATCAACTATTGTTATACAAAAAGTGCATTATTTGTTTTATAAGATGGGTCGGCAATACAGTCTTACGATATAGTCTAGATCTAGAGTATATATGGATTTAAAGCCCGTCTGAACTAGTTTGTCCAAGGCGATTATAATTCCCTGCAAGGTCACTGACAGGTGGTTATACCATCAAATTGACTCTCAATTAACATGAAAAAAGGGATCATGGGGGACCAACAGGCACCGGTTAGGCATCGTTTGCTATATAGAGGGCGCAAGTAGCTATAAGTAGTACAGTGGTGCTTTAAGATATGATGGATATTATATTATTATTGATCTTCTAAAAGGAGATTCAGCCAAAATGAAGTTCCAATAAGCGTAGGGCCAAATATCATGCTTAGCTTTTGAGCTGCCTGCCACTACCACACACACTTTAAGCACACCTTGTTTATTCGAAAGATTTTGATATAATACACAATATTTCAGAGGTGTTTTTATTTTATTTGTAGCGGTCGCCCCTTCAATTGGAGGGGCCCTTTTACCGAAAAATAGGTTATTGTATTACATTTTAGGGAAACCTTGACTACCATTAGTTTGGTGTCATATGAAAAGAAAATAAATCATCTACATTTTAATACGAACTTTAACCGGATTAAGATAAATTAACATCGCAGTTAAAAGTAAAGAACATGATTTGTGTGTGTGATTAAAATAGAAAAAATTTGCCCATGTACAAGGATAATATATTGTGCAAAGCACAGGCAAATATATCCTGGGTGTAATTGTCCTAGAGGGTAATTGTCCAAAGGGGTAATAGTCCTAAGGGGGTAATTGTCCTAGAACCACTTTGATATTGTCATTTCGAATTACCCTGGAACTTGACGTATAACAACAAACGATAATGAATTAAGATTTTGTTCTTCAGTTCTCCTAAATACCCCAACGGCATTTATGTGAAGCGAAAAATATTATTCTACTAATAAACCCTTATTAAACATAAAACATATTCCCTTTACATAAATGTACATGCACCAATAAATGAATAAAGAGGTTGTACGCCTTTGTTTGAGGGAGAGTAAATTACCTCGTTCATGATAACACTGAAAGATAGCTTTAGGCTAAAGTAACAAACTTATTAAATATAAACCTCTGTCCTTTCTTTTCAATCATTTTACTAGGTAGACACTGTTTCGGATGTCTCGATGGAAGTGATAGAAAAAGACGGCGTTCGTCAGCGAGTAGACATCATTTACCACTTGGTGGTAAAGAGTGATGAAACGGGTAATACAAATTTAGAAAAGTAAGTGGAAAGTAATGTAATTTAATTTATTAGGGCAAGTTTACCCGAAGCGCCGTTAATTTGTTTCAAAAGTTGAAAATAATGTATAAATCAATGTCTTATTATGGAAGATTGCAAACCCCATTCGAGAGGACACTTATATATTGTATTTAATAATTACAAAAACTAGCATTGCTGTTTAATACGGCGTAGGCATTCGAAAATTGGCAACCCAACATTCAATCAGTATCGACATAAGTACATGTATAAACATTGTTATCTCATCAGTACCACTTTTTTACACATTAATAACCATTTACCTATGTATGTACTTAACAGGGTATTGATTCCGATAGCTCCCGTCCACGTTCACGAGTTCACTGCACTACTCAAAGAGATGTTTGGATCAAATTGCAATTACTCCCTCTATGGTGATCTTGAACTACAGGAGCATGTTGACACAGAAGATACGGCCTATTTTCAACATGTTGTGCACGAATAGATTAAAGTCTACTTTACGATAACAGTGAGAGGGCTCTGTCACTATCATGTGTGTTAAAGGGATCCGGTAACTTTGTCTCAGATTCTGAAACACAATCCTCGATTTAACTCATGCTTCAATGATAATTATAAACCTTTAGGTCAGTCAGAAACCCCGTGACTTTTACAAGCCGTTTGATTATCAAGATATTTATGATTAGAAATCATAACCAAATTTTGCGTTTTCCTAACGGTTTTCATAACACTACAATCTATTGGGAAAATCGAGTATGGTCAAACCGGTCACTCAGACATATTTTTGCTTTTTTGAGGCACTTTTTGATCATTTTGAAGCGGGATTTTTTTAGGGCTTCAATAATACACCATATCACAGGCACTGAAAACACGTAAGGCCGTGCATCTCAGATTTAAAGATGCCTTTAAAGGGCAATCTAACCCTTGTAACTAGTTAATTGGTAATTTGTATACTTGCTTAATTATTTTAATAAGATATATGAAATGGGCGGAAAAAGAGCCTTTAGTTTACAAGTGCATAGACACTTTCTTTATTCTTTGATGAAGCATTGTCATATTTAAAGACGACACATCAAATGAAGCTTATGAGGAAAAAAGGAGAATTTCAGTCAATTGTTCTTTTACAGAGAATGTCAGTTAGGACTAATTAATACTTCCATACCACATTTTTCTTTTTATTACATCAATATTTCTTGTTGGTACGATGATGTTAAATCACTTGGCGGTTTAGCGTTCAAGCTAACTTTAGCTATTTTCCTAGACTTACCCTGAAAAAAATTAAAATCTTCAGGTAGAATTAAAAACCAAAGTGTAACGAGTATTCATTACAACAAAATAGTTATGACAAAATATATCGATGCAGTACGTTGGCAGCTGGTGTTAGGAATTGATGTGATCTGATTTGACCTGCCAAAATATAAAATGGTGAAATCGATTTGAAATAGTTTTGAGGTCGAAGATCTGATGTTAATTTTGATGTTAACTATTAGAAAAGTGTTATAGAAAATGTTTTCCAATAGTGAACACACATGCAAGTGCTTCCTGCTGATAGTATACTATCATCTATCAATTTTAGGTATGTCCTGTATCAATAAAAGCACAAAATGTATTGCATTTTCTTTGTTTTTGTGCATTTTATCTTGAAATGTTTTTTTCGAAAATGTATGTACACTATTGGTCATAATGGTGGAATAATTATTTTTACCCCAAATTATTGAATGATTTTGACAATGATTTATTCCTAATAGATCTAGATAATAGTATACATTTTCAGATTTTATTGAATGACAATTGGGGGGTGTTTGTTTTGCGTGACTGCTAAAGCATGTGTGTGCTACAATACTAATCAACTAGGGGACCTAAGTCCTTAAGTCATAACTGACAGTAATGGGGATTAATACCTCAATAAAAGGGCACTAATAGAGCAAATCGACACGGTTTTGATCCTGGGGGCTCACAGTAACGAGGCCATTGATTAGCCAATGACTCATGATTGTACGCAGCGGGCGCTAGGATACGTCAAAGCTCCCACAAAAACAAAAAAAGAAAAGAAAATGCAATACATTTTCAATAATTAATTGCATTTTGCCCCTACCCCCAACCCCCAAAAATCTTCTATGTGGGCATGCCTTGAACCATAATGCATGGCCCTACAGAGGAATTTTTTCCTGTTCGGGACTGGGGGAAAATGTGTACATTTCTATCTTGAAAGCTCAGGTACTTTGTACCTTGTGAAGAGAAACTTGATGTTCTAAGCCTATGTGATGACATAGTTCACATTTAAAAATACGCAACTACTAAATTTATATGAAACAGATCAGTACACCTTTTTTTTTCTTTGTATTTTTCTTCTTTATTTTTTCTTTTTCTTTTGTTGAGACGCTCGCGAATGAGAAGAAGAAGAGAATGAGGAGGAGAAAGGTGGAGAAGAAGAAGATACAGGTTATATATTATATAAAGCCAAGTCATGTTTTCATTTGGTGTTCCATACTTTGTCAGGTATTGTGGAGTTTTAACATAAACTTTAACATCAAATGTGCCATTGTTTTAATGAGATCTGATGTGGCGATCGTTTTTACCGAAAATGTAGATGTTTTGGGTAATGGATTGGACATAAACGCTCGGGGTTTACAATTGTATACTATTGTGGTAGGATACGTGAAACAAAAACTAATAACCTGGACATACCGACATAACATGACGACATGAACTTACGAATTCGAGATGTCCATGAGCGATATTATGTTTCCTTTGAGGCTGCAGTTTACATTCATATTAAATACATACAAATGAAAGATAAAACTTGTTCTTAAAATGTTATTTTTTTACACAATTTCAAATAATGTTCTCTATTAAACTAATATATTGAGTATTATTCATAGTACTTGACACCTAAGAAGGTATATATATATATATATATATATATATATATATATATAATATATAAGGTACAGCCTTGATAATATGTTGCTTGTCAGAGAATTGTGAAGTTAGAAAAATATAAAAATAAATTCATGCCCCCTCTCTTTTTAAATCCTGTATCCGCTCCTGGCTAAGATTAGATTCAGAACTTATAAATAACCGTTTCTGGTAATCATGTTTCTGGTCCCATGTTTCGTCCTCCTGGTAAATATCCTCTGCTAGAATTAGGTATATTGTCTCTCCATCCAGTTTAGTTGCTTCTCAAAAAAATTTAGCTCTCTATAACCCCGTCTTAACTGGAAAATGAAGTCGCGATGACGTCCGGACGTCGTCCGGACGACATTTACCCCCTTCCAATTAAAACGCGTCAATCGTGGTAGCGTCCGGACGATATCGAGGTAAATCTCACCCTAGACGAGCCAGGGTGATAGGAGGGTGACCTCCGGACGTCGTCCGGACGACTTCCTGATAAACGGCCTATCAAGACGCTCGCGGAATGTTACCCGGGTAAATTACGTCATCGCCGTGATTTTTTTTTACATTTTTCACGGCGATGACGTAATTTACCCGTAATATACCTGTAATTTACATGTCATATACACAGCGCGCGCCAGCTGATCGCAATGAACAGGTTGCAGTTGTTATGGTAAACTACCCGGGTGAGGTTTTTGCGGATGGCTGATTAAGACGGTGTCCAAAACCTCACCACGTGTTTTACGATCAGACCCCCACTGTTTCTCATCCACATATCGCTCGGGTGAGATCGAAAAAGTATAAGACGGGGCTTTAGATGGTGACTGTATATTTTTTACAATGATAAAGTTACAAATAATGAAATATCATAATTAATGATAATATATCAATAATAATAATACTTATAATAATGATAATCATTATTCAGTAATGATAATGACATATTCATGTATTAGGTATATATATATATATATATTTTAAAAATATTTTACTAAAGGCGTCATTAGAGGGACATTTGGAGTGAAAACAATGATTCATTAAGTAGACATTGTTATTAGGAGGACAATCTTATCGTTTTTTACGTTTTATTTCTCATAGAAGACCCAATGTTTTTATAAATCTCTCTCTCTCTCGATGTGTAATTTTACTAAATGCGTCATTGGATGGACATTTGGAGTGAATAAATGAGTCATTAAGTAGACATTAGGGTTAGGGTTAGGGTTAGAATTAGGTTTAGGGTTAGGATTTCTATGATGTCCAATTAATGTACCATGTAGGGTAATATATATATATATATATATATGAATTAATTCATTTATTCAATGAAATATCTTTGTGTAAAAGCATCTCAATTAAAGGGTGAGTCGATTAAAATTCTAAATGATTTGAATAAAGCGCCATAGCTGTATTGTCGTATGGTTACACGATTACAATTGACAGCAAGATCTTTAAAGATAAATAATCTAGCTTTCTTTTTTTTCATGGAGATTTTATACCATGTTTGTACCCGGTGTTTACCCGATATTAGCTGTATAATTGACTTCACCTTTACGATGGAGCGACAATTAAGTCTGAATTGATCAACAATATATATGGCGAACTTCAATAAACCCTACTATTATGGAAAGCTCATCGTCATAAATTGATATCTAGAAAGCTTTCCGAGACACAAAGACAAGCTAGAGTAATTTTTTTTCTCGGTGGGGCATCAATTTTCTCTGCTTGCGATATCGATATTCGTACATACGATAATTAGTAATTAAGCTCTTTCTTTTCTTTTGTTTTGTTTGTATTTGTACTTTTTGTTTCTCTCTAATGTTTTTTTTTTCTTTTTGTTTTGTTCGTTAATTTTTCTTTTAAAGACTATGAAGTGTATGATTATTTGTTTGTTGGTTTTGTCTGTCTTTTAGATAGGCTCCAATTCATGGGTGTTATAGTGCGTAAGGGTTTATTTTCTCATGTATATTCAACACGTTAATTTAACACGTTAATTTATTCATTTAACTATATAATGATGTTGATTTTTTTTCTTCATATGAGTTGTATGTAATTACCTTCAATTATACTATGTAATTATCAATTTTCGTGGAATGTTTACAAAATATCTATTTGTAACACCTGTGAATGATGGGGAAAAAATAATTAACAAGAAAAAGACGTCAAAGTCACCACCACAGATGTTAAAACGCTACAGGTACTGTGGGAAACAGCAGGAAAAGATGCACGGAAAATTCTTTGCAATTTTCTAAAGCGTCTGCTAAATGTGGGAAAAAGAACTATTTCAGCGTCATGTGCAAAACCAACTAAAAGCCAGAGAAAGTTCGTTAGAAGAAAGATGGGAAAACGGAGTTAAATGCATTTGAGGTTGTATCGTGTATATGAAATCCACTTAATGAAAACCAAGCAAATCCAAATGTCAACTAGGAATATATTTGCAGTGTTATAGGAAGACACACAAATTCCCCTCAATCATTCTGCAAAATGATTGATATATGGTTGACACATCTGAGTTGTGATGTTTCGGTAGAAGTCTACAGCCACTAGAGTGACTGTACATATATTTTGAGAATGTGATATAGATCTGTATTTCATACTATACTACTTACTACTACTACTACTACTACTACTACTACTACTACTACTTATAATAATGAATTTATCTAGCGCATTTTGTATAGACATGTTTTAACGCGATTTACATTTACTCAATATGATAATGTTTAATGATAACAGAGGATACGATACAGCCAT